CGGAAAGGAAAGGGAAATGGAAGTTAGAAAAAGTGTAATTATAAATTGTAAGAGTTAGTGAAAATTGGAAAAAGTGGAACCGGAAATGGAAGTGGGAGAGGAAATTAGAATAGATGTGTGGAATAGAATTACAAATTGGAGAATGTGGAAATGGGAATCGAATTTTTAAAAAAGTGGAAGTGGAAAGTAGAAAAGTCGAAGTGGAAATTGTAAAAAAGGAAAAAGAAAAATAGGAGTGAAAATCAGAAATGGAGTAAGTGAGATTGGAAATTGGAAAAAGTAGAAATTGAAGTGGAAAAGGAAAATAGAAAAAATGAAAGTGGGAATAGAATTACAAATTTGAGAATATGAAAATGGAAGTGGGAATGGAATTTAAAAAGAGGAAATGAGAGTGAAAATTGGAGAAAGTGGGAATGGAATTTAAAAAGAGGAAATGAGAGTGAAAATTGGAGAAAGTGGAAATGGAAATGCAAAATGAAAAAAGTGGCAGTGGAAATGGAAGTTGGAATGGAAATTGGAGAAAATGGGAATGGAAGTGATAGTGGATATTAGAAACAGTGGAAGCGAAAATAGAATAGGGAATACAAATTGGAAAATGTGGAAATAAAAAAAGGTAGAAGTTGAAATTGAAATAAAAATGTAAATTGGAAAAAGTTGAAGTGGAAAATGAAGTAGAAATGGAAATGGAAATTGGAAAAAGCTTAAGTGGAAATGGATTTACATAATCGATTCCAAGTATAATAACAAACAAAAATTGTAAGGATACAAATTCCGAGAATTCGGGAAAAGTAGAAAAGGAACAGGAAACTTGACAGTCAAAATAGGTGATAAAATGATGACCTGGATTGGATCGACTTATCGAGAAACAGATTGTGGTTTATGAAAACCGTTGTGATATAAATAAAGTAGTTTAACGTTCAATAATTTCCCAGTTAATCCCTAACGTTGTCAGTATAAGGTCACTCCTAAACTATATATATATTATATACATTAAGATCCTTATAACATTAAGCCTCCTTTAACTCAGCATTTGAAAATTACTCCTGAAATTGCTTCACGCATAGAAAATAGACCTAAACACTCGTGTAAAATCAACTCTCGTCAAATACGGTCTGGCTAAATTGTTTCTTGGAATTTGAATTTGCATATATGAAACGTACAAACATTTATATACATATATAACTCATATGTGTTGAATTAGTAGGAAAAGTTTATTACCATGCCAAAGTCATCTATTTGAGCCCAAAGAACGATTACTTTAAATTCTTTTGTTTTACTCCAATTATAGGCTTACAAGTTCTTTTCCATATATAGTTATATGATATTTATTATACATTAAACTTAATAATGTTTATATATCATTAAAAAATGAACACACGATAATTTCTGAAATCAAGTAAATTATTTAAAAAATGAAATAAAACGAGCGATATGATTTTTTTTTAATTCTTTGCTATACTTTTACTTATATATGAAGGAACAATTTATATATCCTCTACTGCGTGCCACGCATCGTGCTTACGATTACACTAATTGCGAAGGTAATGAAAAGGTCAGAGGTGCGAACGACAGCGATCTATCGATCAATCGCAGTGGGGAACAGAGAAAAAAAAAAAAAAACTCTAATTGTACGCCGGGGGTGAGTGGTTTTCGTGTCGCGCCCCACCTCCCGTTTATCAGTATGTAATTAATGTTAATTATACATCTTACGATCGATCTGAGCTTAACTCACTGCCGAGGGGCCTTCCGTCAAACAAGCCATAAGCAGCGATTGTTATCGATTATATTGAAAAATTATTATTACCATTTCATGTGAATATCGCGAGGTACACCATTCAGTTCATATTCTGTTGCAAAGTCTTATATTTTTATTTAAAAATACATTTATTGTATCTTAAAAATAAAAACGTTTATATTTTAAATCATTGTATATCTAATAAATAAAATGTGGGATTTTATTGCTCTTTTTAAATGTTGAAACATAATTCTCATTTTGAAACTGTTATGGATCGAATGAAGTAATGCGTAAAAAAAATGTGCGACAAAAAAAAAGAGTGAAACATTAGTGTCATGGCTTGAATATAAGTCTCGCTTTAATGTATATAAGATAGATGATCAAGTCTTGACCCTAAGAAGAAGGGAAGCTGGTAGTAGCGTGTGTGTGGTCTATTGTCACCGTTCCGTTATACAGAAAAAAAAATTTTGTTCACATTGACCTTCATCAGGCAAAACTTAAAGACCTTTTGATATGAATAACACTCTTCAAATCATTTTATTCATTATATAACATCTCCTCATAGAATATATATGTATTTACAAAGATTTTTTTTTCTGCTTAAACGTATGTACGAAAATTTAATTTAGTATACAGTTAGATTTGTAATTATAATGAATTGTAATTATGAAAAAAAAAACTGTCAACATTAGAGAGTTTTTCTTAGAAGCTCAAGTTAATTTCAAATTTACGCGGGCGTTTAGTGGCGCCATCTGTGAAAAGAGTTGCGCATAGCCAGTTTCATTAGCTAGAACGTGGGACTTTTCTCTACTATACTTTTTCTTAGTTCACGTAAGTGTGACGCATTTCTATTATATTTACAAACTTGATTTAATTAATCCGAAATCATCAAAGTGTAATAACAGTTTTTTTTTTGATAATAAAAAGTTAATCTAATTTGAATTAAGAAAATAATAAAATTGTAATACAAGAAATTTTACTTTTTGAAAAATTAAATTAAGAAATAAATATAAAGCAAAAAAACTGTTTTTAATTTTACCTAATTAATTAGAAATTCTTTATCAAGGTAAAACTATCACTGAACAAAACCTAAAATTTCTTTACCATAATGTCCCTTTTCTCCGGAAAGTGTATAATTTTTTTTTTTGTCGTCAGTCCAACACGGGACATTTGGTACAAGTTTAACTTATATGACAAGCTTCTACGAATCTGCATTAAACTATAAACTATAATCGTAAAAGAAAACATTTTAAATATAGATCTTCTGAAATATGCTCTGAAAAAATAGTAACTATGTCGCAATGTTCTTAAAAAAAATATATATATATATATATATATATTCACCCAAAAATTCTTTTTATAAAATCACACGCAAAAACACTTTCAATTCTCAGGTATAAATATTTGTTTGACGAAGATATGTGTATGTGTATCTATATAAATTAGTTCAATTTCCTGTTTTTGTAAATTTGAAAGATCTTGTAATTTCAAGAAAAATATATGTGAAAATTTAATATATATCAGCATTAGAGATACCAAAAGTGAAAATGTCGAAGATGTGAGTCTGGCAAGTGTCTCTTGTCACTTTTTGCTATAGAATTAACGTCTCGCCACAATAATAAACCGCGATTCTATACATTATAAACATATGTATCTCAATAAATTTCTGTAATTTTCTTCAGTTGCCATACGTTGATATACATATATGTATATATATATTCAATAACAGGACGGTCGTTCATGTCATGAGAAACAGGCAAATATTATTCCCCCGTTACCATAAGCAGACCACCGGCAAATGTGTATAAAGTTAAATTGTAATTTATAATGATTATAATACCGAATGTTTATTTTCATTTTCATAAAGTAAAATTTGAATAAATTATTTAATAAGATGTACAAGAAAATTATTTTTTTTAGTATATTTAAAAAAAGAAATGAAAATTTATTCATTTATGATAGCCGCGGTCGTTTTGTTTTTACCAATTTCCTCTACAATTAATAATTTCCAAAAAAAAAAGGAAAAAAATAATATAATGACATGTTAATTACGTCCTGCCGCCGTCAGATGGCAGAAGCATGCAGAGAGCACAAAATAGCAGCTGTTATGTATTACTTTTCTAATTTTCGTTTTTCAATGGCGTTTTTTGTATGGATTTGCAGAGATTTAGGAAATTTATAAGATAAGGATCCTTTGAATTTTGGCCGATTTTGTAAAAAGTTTCCTTGTTTCAAGAAAAAAGTATTTTAAAATCAATGTTTATCATTTTTACGTTCAGGAATTTCAAAGACCGTTCGATACTCTTAAAAAATTATACCTAATTTCATAAGAAAAACACGATAATTAGAAAAGTAATAAATAACAGCTGCGACTTTGTGCTCTCTGCACGCTTCTGCCATCTGACGGCGGCAGGACGTAATTAACATGTCATTATATTATTTTTTTCCTTTTTCCAGTAAATTATTAATTGTAGTTGTTGAATTTTTGTCATTTTAAATTTTCAAATCGACTTTTTTCAAAAATGTCTCCACAAAAGATTTTCGTTTTTATTAAAAAAATGATGTATTTATGATCTATAATTGAAATCAAGAAGAAAATCCCAGGTGCCAGAACATTTAGATTAAATCGGTTTAAAAAACACCGTGTACCTATATGTTAATAATTTCTGTACATTCATCCCAGAATTTTCCTCGCATGTAATTTTTTATAATAATAATAATAATTATTTAAAATTTTCTAATTAATATTTTAGTATTTATAAATTCGAAAATTAATTAACAAAAATTCACACTTTTAATAAATAAATGTAAATGTCATGAAAAAAAAGTCTAAATCTATATTTCGCAGCCATTTTGAAGGGTGCGGGTTTCTTTCTATACAGAGGTACATTTTGTGTGCACGTGATCCTTTGTCGGTATTTTATGATTGGATTTGGATAATTAATATGGAAAATAATATTGGTCTGATATCGAATTCCATAAATAATTCCAATATAATAATGATCCCTTACTCCTAGCAATATTCTGCATATATATATTTGTACGCATACATGTTATATATGAAAATTATTAAATTAATATAAAAATTAAATTTACTCAATTAAAGAGAATGTATTACATGCGTATATACAGATTAATAATTTTCTATCTGTAAAAGACAGATGTCTATTAATTTTTTTTTAAAAGATAATATTAAAAAAAATATATTCAAATAAAAAAAAAATTCAATTTTTAATTAATAAACACTTTATGTTTTTTGTTACAGTGGCCAAATTGGTTTTTACGACCAGAAATCCCAGTAAGTGTTCCTCTCTCGAATCAGGTGTCAAATTCCAATTTCACATTGACGAGTTCAACATTGTCGAGAAATCATCAAGACACTACGAAATTATCTCAAGCGTCATCTCTGAATAGCAGCAAAGTCCATGGACAGACACCAAGAATTTGCACGGTATGTACATACACTAAATTAATTTAAATAATAATTATTATATTATACAGGGATTAATTTTCTAATCTATAATTATTTACTTTAACTCGAAATTAATTATGTAATTATCACTATAAATTATAGTGAATGAATTAAATTACATAACTGAGAAAAATATTTCATTTCAGCAACCAAAATTTGGTTGGGCGAGCAAAAATTTTTTTTTTTTGGTATTTAAAACTATTTGGTTGTCGTAACCAAATTTTGGTTATGACAAAAAACGATCATTTGGGTTTTCAGACCAAACTATTTTGTTGTGTTAATCAAATTATTTTGGTTGTCGTACCCAAATTTTGGATGGAAAAATATTCAATCAAATAATTTTATTGGCTTAACCAAATGTTTTTGGTTGAGAACTCTACAATTTTGTTTCAGCCAACCAAAATTTGGTTACGACAACGAAAATTGACCAATCAAACGATTTTGTAGCAAATATAAAAAATTTTTTTTTTCTAACGCACCTATTACAATAAATATTTTTAGGCACAGATTTATTGTATGCATAAAAAAACTATAGGAATTGGTCCACTCATTACTATACAATCCCCTAATATAAATATTCTAAAATTATTTAATCAAAATTAATAATTTAATATGTAGGTATTATTAATTCCAGTGTTTATAGTTGAATGAAAACTTTTGTACAAATATACTACTAATTAGCAGTATAAATATGAGAAACATTTGCTCGCATATACAGTATATTATATTACCAAACTGTACCACTTAAAAATAATGTTTACGAATGTATTAGTACAATTTTGTGCAGTATATACACTTATGAATTTTTGCTCATGTCATTATTAAATTAAGATAATTCGTTTCCTATTTCTTTTTTATGAACGAACATCATTTACTATATATATATATGATTACAAAGCATAAATTTTGACTTGAAAAATGGTTTCCGCAGTCTATATTGATTTTAGAAATTCTATTTGCTGAGTTCATAAAAATAAGATGTAACAGCGCGCTTTATGCTTTAATATTAAATTCGTTACGGATACTTTGCGGCTTTATGTGGCCCTGTGAATGGTGTAATATACGAGGGCGGTTTATTTCGACGGCCCCCCCCCACCCCTTAACATAATGAGCTTTTTATTTCGCGCTCATCGTGAGCGCGAGAAGACAAACTGTGGAAGCTGTTTAAACAACCGTGAAAAAAGATTTCGAAATGGTTTGGCACTTTAGAAAAAAAAAAAGGAAAAAAATAATTTATCCCCTTTTTTGCCTTTCTCTAAAGTGCCATAGATTCCACACGAATTCGCAAAACCACGACAATGGACTAGATCACCGTGCGCCACAAGGTGATTTAAAAAAAATGAATTTGCACTTGAAAATTCTTTTTGATTATGATTCTTAGATGAATAACAAACATTTCTCAATAGTTTTTAAAATCAATTTACGTGCCCGATTTAAAAAAAAATTAGTTTTTATATAAAAAACAGTAATTTTATGGGGAATCAGAATTTATTTAATGTAATGAATACTGTAATAAATGATAAAATAATTACTTATTTTTAATTTTACATATAAATAATTATATTGCTGTAGTGTTTGTATCCGATTTTAAAAAATTAAATTATAATGTTAAAAGAACGATTTTAAGAGTGACAAAATTTATTTAAGAGAGTTGAATGGTCTCTGAAATTTTTTTGGCAAGAAGAGACCTTTAATTATCGCTCTATAAAAACGGCACTAAACGTGAAAATGATAAACATTGATTTTAAAATACTTTCTTCTTGAAAGACGGACACTTTTTTACAAAAGCAGCTAGAGATTCTTATCTTATATAAATTTCCTAAATCCGAAAGATTATGCGAATCCATACAAAAACACGATTACAAAACGAAAAGTAATATAATGAGGGGTTCATTACCTCCTGTCGCCGTCAGATGGCACCAGCATGCAGGGCGCACAAAGTCGCAGCTGTTATTAGATTACTTTTCTACTTTTTGTTTTGCAACCATGTTTTTCTATGGATTTGTACCGTCTTTTGGATTTAGGAAATTTATAAGATGAGGATTTTGGCTGATTTTGTTAAAAGTGTTCGTGTTTCGAGAAAAAAGTATTTTAAAATCAATACTATTTCACGTTGAGAGCGATAATAATTAAAACTCTCTTCTTGCTAAAGAATTTCAGATACCGTTCGACACTCTTAATGCATAAATATAAAAACAAAACAAGAAAATAACTTCAATGTTAATAAATTTATATGAACCCAAATCTAAAACATCTATTATCTATACGCATATAAGTATACATTAAATAAATTCTGGTTCCTCATAAAACAGTATTTTTAAATATTTAAAACTCAATTTGTTTTAAATTGGGCACGTAAGCTGATTTTAAAACCTAAATGGTTTTTATTTATTTAAGAACCATAATCAAAAAGAATTTTTAAGTGCCAACTCATTTTTATTTAAACCTCCTTCTGGCGCACCGTGAGATACTAGCTTTTCTTTTTTAAAGAAAGAGAAAAAAGGGATATTGATTTTAAATGGAAATTTTTTTAAAATGAAAAAATGGGAAGGTAAAAGAAAGTTTACACTAAAGACAAAGTAGGTTTTAGATTGAGATTAATACCTTAAATGTAGAGTCAATAAAGGGTCAAAAAGGATCAAAGTAAGTTTAAGATAAGGACCAAGTAGGTTTAATGTACGGTTAAAGTAGAACCAAAGCAGAATGTAGAGTCAAACCAGAGTCAATGTAGAGTTAATATAGAGTCAGTGTATAGTCAATGTAGAACCAATGTAGGGTCAATATAGCATTAATGTAGAATCAATGTAAGATCAATGTAGAGTTAATGTAGAATTAATATAGAGTTAACGTAAAGTTGATGTAGAGCCAATGTAGAGGCAATGTAGAGTAAATGTAGAATTAATATAGAATCAATATACAATTAATATAAAGTTGATGTAGAGCTATTGTAGAGTCAGAATTGCACTGAGTCGTCTAGACCGACTGGGATATCTGAGTCCTTAAGGACTATACTCCTGATGTTAATAAAGTCAAAGTAGAGCCAATGTAAAGTCAATGTAGAGTCAAAATAGTCTGAATCAATATCGAATTAATGTAGAATCAATGTAGGATCAATGTAGATTCAATATAAAATTAATGTAAAGGCAATGTAGCATTAATGTAGAATTTATTATATAGAATCATTATAAAGTTAGTATAAAATAAATGTAGAGCTAATGTTGAGTCATTGTAGAGCCAATATAGAGTCAATTGCTCATGCTCTAAAAGAGAAAGAAGACCGAAGTCTTTGGGCATCTGGGACCTAAGGTAGAGGACTATAATCCCCGGTGATAAAGCCAATGTAGTGTTAATGTAGACTTAATGTAAAGTTGAGGTAGTGCTAATGTAGAATCAACGTAGAGTTAATGTAGAATTAATAGAGAATCAATATAGAGTTAATGTAAAGTAGATGTAGAACTGATGTAGAATCAATATACACAGTAAAAAGGAAGTCTTATTTGAAGGCAGAAACGGTGTCTTATTTTGAGATGCAACATTTTTAAGGCAACTTTGTTGATTTTACGCAATGCAATTTCCATTATAGAATGTAGGATCAATGTCGAGTCAATGTAGAATCAGTAGACAATTAATGTAAAGTTGATGTAGAACGAATGTAGATTCAATGTAAAGACAATATAGAATTAATGTAGAGTCAATGTAGAATTAACATAGAATCAATATAGAGTTCACGTTAAGTTGATGTAGAGCCAGTGTAGAGTCAATGTAGAGTCCATGTAGAGTCAATGTAGAGTCAATGTAGAGTCAATGTAGAGATAAAATAGAGTTAAAATAGAGTCAATGTAAAGGTGAAAAGAGTTATATAAGAGTCAATATAAAGTTAAAAAAAGATTTAATGTAGAGTCAAAATAAAGTGTGAGTAGCTTTAAGGATGATTCACAGTAGGCCTTATGTAATATCAAAGTATTTCCAAGAATGGTAGAAATAGTTTTAACTCAGAAACAAACTATATTCAAGGTAGATATTGCAAGTAAATTTTGATATAGGTTTAATACCTAATACATCTTCAAATAAAGGTTAAAGAAGTTTTAGTCTAACATCAAAGTAGATTTAATGTATGGTTCATGTATATTAAATCAATTATTTTCTATTTACCGTAATTTTTTCCACTCTCTCGAATGTATGTGATATCAAATTACTAATTAATTTTTAAGTTAAAGTCAGTAATTGAGAAACACATTGTCGACTTTTAATACACAAGTATATATCAGAAGAGCTGAAAAGTTGTAACTTGAAAATAGAACGATCGCGAAAAGTGAAGTAACGCCCTTAATGGCCAGCGACACGGCACAGAAAACCGTATATATATGTATATACCTACCGTGCTAACTGGTCGATATTCAATTTACAGTTTTGTCACAATGGTATTGCGTTTCGGAGAACGAAGCCGCCTGCTGGAAGTCGTTCGTCAACGTCGACGAAAGCGTCGAAGTGAATTACATAAGGCTGAATGGGGCGTCTATATAGTTAAACGACTACTGTCACTGCGCTCGTTAGTCCACACTATATTTAAAAGATGAAGTGATATACGTGTGACAGGGCAGAAAAAAAATTGCGTTAAAATTTAATAGCAATGTTCCGCAGTTGAACATTGTCTTGATATTATTAAAGTCAGCTTTAAGATTTATTTCCTGTCTTTAATTTTTAAATTTGAGAAATTAAAATAAAAAAATTTTTTTGTTCAGTATTTAATTATTTATTAATACACAGTTAATTTGAAAATATTGAATTAATACAAAATTTTTATATTAATTTAATAATTTTTTTTTTTTATCAATTTGATATACTTATAAATTAACTGTGTAAAATAATTAGAATTTTCAATTTAAAAAATATATATGAGACACCAAAAAAAAAAAAAAAAAAAAAAAACCTCATGTAAAAAGTTTCAGGCAAATCTGATCAAATTTTTATATTTTTGA